GTTTTCAGAATGCCTATCATGTGCTTAGCAATAAAGAGATTAAAAATCATGATATACTGTCACAATTATTACATGTTTTTATGGAAAATAAGTAGAACTTAATGGAAATGCAGCATATTTGAAAAGCATTTGCATCAAAGTAATTTTTAGCTCTGACTGCAAGCACTATAATCATTCAGAGACCAAAGAAATAAGAATATGAACTGAAAATGATCCCACTTGAGATGGTGTCTAAAATATATATAATGTTTTTATACTAATTGGATGAGGATCAAACATCTTTTCATTGGCATTGAGTGTTATGATGAATAAATATGCTTTTGTTGTTTTCAAGTTGTTGGTAAATTATTACTAATCGATAATTTAATATGTAACATTTGCTTTTATTTATCTCATTCTCCTATTCCCTGTCATTGTATCTGATATACTATTATCAACTTTGTGTATTTTTTAAAAATATACTATTAATTCAATTATTTGAGTCCAAATTTCTGTGTCTATGACACTAATACAGTTAATAGTATATAGTTGTGGGCATTTTCTTATCCTACAAGTGTATTGTGTTATTAGGATAAAATAGCTACGGGGGAGAGGAGTCTAAATTTGTCTGAATAAAGTGAGTGCCATGAGTCATTTTGTGTTTGTATGTTTAACTGATACACTCTTAGAACTTAGAGTCTTTTTAAGGTCAAAATGATTATTACGTATCTGAAGTTGGAGCTATTAATCATTACAAGAACATTCAAATAATGTGAACGCATATAAGGCAACGTTTTATTTAAGTTATTTCTATAACTTATGAGAAACACTGAAAAGTGTGCTTGAGGATATTTTTAAACGTTTTGATTTCACCTAGGGGTGTATAGTGAAATGCACAAGTGTTTTGCCAATACTTGTAAGAAGACAAAATTAAACTATCACAATTCTACCTGCATACAGAGCCACATTTGGAATGAATGTGAATGATCATCATGCTTCCTACTGTGTTTCACAGCAACTCTTCCTATTACTAAAGTGAAGAGTAAGAATGGAAGGTAGCATGCATTTCCAAAAATAGACGTTTAAATATGTAAAGTGTTTTTAACATAATGAGGATTTATTCCACATCAGGAGAACCTGAGGGTAGATATGGTCTTTTCTTTTACCAATTCATGGAACGTTTTTCTGCCTAAATGTGGCACGTGTTCTGAGATTGCTTTTTCTATGAATTGTGTTTTCCCAAATTTGAGACTATTTTCTTGCTATTGTGCTTGGTACATAGTCCAGGCCAGGCAGAAGATCTGATGCATAATATATGTTTAATTAATATAAGTCTTCTCCCTCTGATCACTCATCACACTAATCTGCTTTTCTCTTAGATGGCCATACCCTCATTTCAAATAATTTATATTTCCCATGTCTGAAAAACGTCTAGACAGGTGTCAGGATTTTATATCCTTAGTGCCTCTTGACTGGTAGGCACTTAATTTATGTTTCTCATAGGAATGGAAGTAAAGAAAGAAGGAACTGTTACACTCTTTCCTAAACCAGACTAGTAGTATTGAATGAAGACTGTATTTCTTTTTTTTTAATAGAAGTGTAATCAGTTTACAATGTTGTGTCAATTTCTGGTGTACAGCATAATGTTTCAGTCAGATATATACATACATATACTCCTTGTCATATTCTTTTTCAGTATAGGTTACTACAAGATATTGAATATAGTTCCCTGTGCTATATGGAAGAAACTTGTTGTG